CATACAGGTAGTGGTAAAGAAAGATTATTTTTTTTGTTGGGGAATAATTTTTAGAAAAAATTTCTTTAAAATTATAAAAAAGTAAATCACATAATTGGTCATTATGAGACACTCGTTAATCTGTTGGTTGGGAGATTTGGCTATCAACTAGAGGCTGTATCTTCTAAGGTTATGTAAGTGAATAGTATGTGAGAGCTAAATGTAGCCATGTTTGAGGCATTTTGGATTAGTCACGTCAAAGCTTTAAGGTGCTAAGTTCTATTAATCAATGGGCTAGCTAAACTGATAAGACATAAATGCTTCCATTTACCAGATAGAACCAATAATAAAATTGAGGCCAAAATGAGAATAAAAAAGTTCATGTTGAAAAAAAATAATTGATGATTTTACTTTGTAGAGGTATTACACTTAACATAAATCATCACAATAAGCAATCATCATTATTTTTTAGGTATAAGCTCTTTATGAAGAAAGATGACATTTTACCTTTGATAATCAAAATTTTTTCCTCCAATAAACAATATCATCATTCTCCCTTAGTTATAAAGAAAATAAGAACATTATAACAGTTTTTATAAACTCATATAAAGTTCCTTCATTTGATATTTAATTATTTCATAAAATTCTGTTACAATTGAACCTTTTCTGACCATATTTATTGCCCCATATGCCCTAATTTTATGACCAATATAATGAAACTTGTTCATTATAGCAACACAAACACATTACATTTTACTCAATAATCTCAATTGATCCATCACTAGCTACAACCATTAGACCCAAAGCCAATTTGTGAGTTCCCCAGATCATATACTATGTTGAACCTGCGTTGCTGCATACTACCAATAACCACAATCTGACTATCATCACTATTTCCAACGATTGATAAACACCATTGATATTTAGTGGCATGAAAAATTGTCCCTAAGATATCCAAGTTAGCTATAACTTCACCTTCATAGACAAAAGAAATATCTGGAGTCAACACCTCCTCGAAGCCAGTAAGGTTATAGCATGTGTCAAGATTAAATATTGGAGGTGCCATTGGGTAAATAGACCATTTTTTTCGAAAAATACTACGTAGGGCAAAGTAGGTAGTGGGTGGCAAGCGAGTAATTGATGTGCCAGAGTCCAAAATAGTTCCTGGGCTACTGAATATAGTGGGTGAAAGGTCAATCCTTTCACCCCAAATAAATATGGCAGTGAGATTAAGGAAGTAGAAGGATGGCATTTTTGGGTTTGTTAGCATCGGTGTGTACTTCACACCAAGAGCTGGGATACCTAGTTCGAGATATCCAACATAGTCAATTCTTGATGGTAAACAATATGAGAATATATTGTTATACATATTAGATGCTTGGGAAATAATTGAAAGGGCCCCACGACCAAGGCCTAAGAACCCATCCATGTGTCCATGAAATCCAGTGTTATTATCAGCACATCCAAAGTGGAAATTTGGTATATTATCATTTGAGAATTTTAAGGTGTCATTAATGAGGGATCCTTTAGTAATACTATGGTCAGCATATCTTACCTCATAAAGACATGTGAAGGTAGAAGAGCAACGAAATAAAGGGAGTTGGGTACAATAATTAGAGATGCATTCGATGGTGGTGAAGGTGGATGATTGGGTTGGGTCATAAAATGGATTTTTTTGGTTATAACAATTAATGCAAGGGACACATTGGGTCCAAGTGAGATCACTACCAGTGTCAAACATAACTGTAAAGTCCTTTGTAGGGGTTCCAAGGCCTATTTTGATGACATAGCTTAATATACCAAGAGAACTACCAAAACTTGTTGGAACTCCTGCAAAAAGAGTGCGGCCAACAAGGTTGAGGTGGGCTGTGGTGTTGGCAGCTTGGTGATTGATGTAGTCAACCCGGGCTTGGTCCTGATGGAAGAAATCCTCAAGTGATGGTTTGTACTGGCGTGTCAAAGATGAGCACGGGCCATGCTGGTGGACCACATTTAGCTTTGAAGGGCTTGTGCCTGTTACAATTTGAAAACCTAATTAATGCAATTATTGAGTTTTTTTTTTCTTTTTTTCACTTTTGAGCTTGTTATATCTATCAAATGAGCTTATACTTGTGATATTTATCAAAAAAAGCCTAATTACTGCATGATTTATTTTTATTCTAATTATTTTTAAAAAAAATAATCTCCAAAAAGGTATTAAGAAATAATTGAAATTTCTCACAAACTTTTATTTGGAACAAAGCAGGAGCTACTCGGTAACATTGACTTGATGTTAATGACATGGTGTTCTTTGGCAAGCTCTCGCGCTGATACTAACAGAAATTTCTCTATCAGAAGCAAAAAGAAAAACATATTGAGAAGAATATAATATGAGAGTAGAGAAGTCCTCATTGGAATAGAACTTCTAAGCTTTGTTTAGGAAATATTATTGTAGAACAACTGAAGGTGGGGTTTTATAGGTGGGGAATTATTGTATAAAAGGGGGGGGGGGTTATTATGTATTTAAATTAGAAGATAAATCATTATTTTAAGGGAAGATTAGGTTGTTGGAGAAGAGATCAAATGAGGGTTTTGGCCTATAAAGAAGGAAACAAGTGTCTATTTATTCGGCTTGTTCTTATAATACAAAATTGCTAATTTTTTCTTAAGTTTAAGTTTGATTTGAAGTTATAAATTAATTGCATTTCTGTAATCCAAATTTTGTAAAAGGTGTCGGCCATTACATTTGGCCCTATGTTTGATTAAGTAAAAATCTAACAGCTAATGATGAGTGTTAAAAAGTTAGAATATGCTTTTAGCTTTCTCATGACATAACTTATTATTTTTTAAAGAAAAAAAAAAAGAAACCAAAAAATTTTATAGTATTCTAAGTCAGAATATAGCTTCAGGCATAACATAATTATTATTTAATTAATGGATTTTATATACAGTAATTGATTTAAAAAAATGTGTAATATATTTAATAAAATATAAAATGCAACTAACAAATAGATTAAATTTTTATCTATGTGCTTGGGTTCTAGTGTTTTATACCCATTTTTTTTCATTCACATATTGTGATGTGGTGTTGTATATTTGAGTTGGAGATAGACAGAGAGAGGAGCAACAAAATACGCTAGATGTCGACGCTATTATAAATTTTGCCACACTAAAGGCTTAAATTGGAGTCTTATGGCACTCTAAACCTAGTGTATTAATGTTACAAATAGGGCTGGATATTATGGCTTGTCAAAATTTTACACGACCAAAAACCCATCTTGTACCCGACTCAAAATATTTTTAGTTTGGGCTAATCCATTTTTTATACGGTTCAGGTTCATGTTTCTAATTTTGTCCCATATGTAAAATTGGGTTAGGTTTGAGTTTTCCCAAAAACTCGAGATAAACTTAAATTGGCCCGTTTTTAATCTTGAGTGACTTGTCTCATCACTCAAAATATCATCGACATTAAATTTTTCTATTTTTATATTTTTATATTTAAAAATTTTCAAATTTTAATCCTTAATTTTTTTGCTGTATTTTCTCTTTCTTCTTAGTAGATTCTATATGGGTTACTTTGCCAACACAATGTACTGAATCAAAATTTCACATAAAATAAAAGTGGCTATTTATGTGGGAAAAGGTTAATTGTAAATAGAAATAGTTAAGGCAATTAGCACAGTTAACAAAAATAGATTCGTCACATAGATAGAAATCTGATGCATTTTTGTAATATGAAAACATTCCAAAAAACACTTAAATGAACAAATTGTAGCAAAGATTTTACAAAATTAGTTTTATTTAATGTAGATTAAGTGGATGTAAATAAAAAACTAAATATAAGAATTCATATTATGAATATTTAAATTATATTTTCTTTGATAAAAAGACAAAATTATTAATTTTATCCTTATGAGAAATTCTAATTTTTTATTATATTAGTAAAAAATAATATAATATTTTAAATTTGATAAAATTAAATAAGTGCAAAATAATCTGAAAAAGAGAATATATAGTTACAAATATCATAAATTTTCTTAACATCGATCAATAGAGTGGATAAAAAATTATCTTCTTACTATTTTAAATCAAAAGGTCATTAATCAAGAAATGAGTTATTCCTTTATGCAAGAAACAAAAGAACATATTATAGAGAACTAGCGGATTGTGCACTATTAGTTAGCTAAAAAAGTATAAACTTATAAGGTAGTGTATTTTCATTAAAAAAATAGCTAAGTTAAAATTATAGTAATCAAAAGGATATACATAATATAACGCATTACAAAAAAAACTGAAGAGGGCTAGGGCTAATTAAATTATCAAATACTATAATTCAAAGAATTAGCATTTTACTTGAATCAATCTTAGAAGAAATTATCCAAGCTAGCGTTGAAAAATTCTTACGAAGGAAATCAGCCAATAAAATGAGGCACAATGTTATAAAACTTTACTCTTGACAGAGGCCCAATTGAACTAAATAATAATAAGATTTCTTCCTTCTTCTACTTTGTAAGTATGTGCATATACAATTAATAGAGGAATCAGTCAAAAGACATTTTAGTATTGCCACAGTTGGCAAGTAATAATGATTAATTGTAATTAAGAAATGATATCTCAATAATCAAATCATTTCCACCAAATTACACATTACTCTATAACAAATGATTGAAACAAAAGAATTGACCATTTCAACATAAAAGAAATCTATTATAACTAATTTTTTAAATCAACTAAAATTAAAAAAAAAGACCCATTTTTTAATTCAGGTTATAACATACAAGCCCATCCTTTCAATAGCTCCTCTTTTGTAAATGGCAAATCATTATCAAAATTAGAACAACTTTTTAAGTTAGCTAAAAAATGATCATATTCATATGCAACAACAGTAAACAAACAGCTAGGTTTCACAGTAACGAGTTGATTCCACTACAGCTATTAGCTAAAGACAAAATGAATATTAGATCAAAAAATATGTAAAATAAAAAAAGTAATACAAGAATAAAAAATTCATTCGAATCATAAATAGTGCAATTTCATAAATTAACCACGATGAAATCATAATCTAAATGCCTTATAAAGCTTTCCATGACTTTATTGAAAACCCACCAACTATCGAGGAACTCATAATATAATCATATTTACATTAAAAATTAACAAGTTCTATAAATTTATTGTATGTTTCCAAGAAACTTACACAATATCGTCACAACTAATGATTATTTTGATATGCAAGGCATATTTTTTTAGTGTAATGTTACAATATGATGAAAAACCCTTAAAAGACAAGATTTAAGAATTCGCCAAACACAAAATGAGCATGTCATTTGTAAATTTAATGAAGGAAAAACTTATTATCAAATAATATTTTTGAAAGATTAATTCACAACTATAAATATAACAAATCTATACACATACAATTGATAATGTTAGCCAACAACAACAACAACAACAACAACAAGCCTTTATCCCACTATGTGGGGTCGGCTACATGAATCCTTTTTCTCCATTGTGTCCTATCAAAAGTCAAACTCTCGTTTAAATTTAATAAAGAAAATTCATTCCAAATTTTTTCTAACCAAGTCTTTTTAGGTCTTCCCCTACCTTTCTTAACATAAGCCAAATCTAATACCTATACTCTCCTAACCATTTCATCTGAAAGCTGCCATTTTATGTGACCAAACCATCTAAGGTGACTCTCTCTAATCTTATCTTCTACTGGAGCGACTCCAACCTTTTCACGTATATGCGTATTTCGTACCCTATCTCTAAGGGTAAAGGCACTCATCCACCTAAGC